TGAACAAGGGAAACTACGGTCATATACCATGCAGTGTATGTGGTCATAATGAGGCCCAAGAATGACCATATTCTGTAATTGTGGAAAGAAGGGATGAAGATTGTTGTTGCACAGCATGCGCCAAAGATGTAAGTCCAAAAGAAGGTTCTGCTTCTAGAGGAAAAAGACTAATGCTAACAATGATAATTTTGTGAGTAAGTGCCTGATTAGAAGCACAGCTAAACCATGCATCATAGACAGAACCACCATGCCAAAAGAGCCTAGATAATTTGCCAGTAGTAGACTTAGAACCCTCCTCTTCCCTCTCCATGTGTCCAGACCCCCAAATCCATATCATCAAATTTGCAAATTTAAAATCCAAACTAAACCAATGGTCTAAACCAACCTAACCCAATTCAGGTTGTTGGGTTGACCTGGACACTGGACTCATGAACCCCCCTATTTGGAATAACTTCAAATAAAATCTTAACCAAATTGTTATGATAAAAGTGCAAAGTGGGGAAATGTGTAGAACAATTACCAGTTCCTATTGCAGCTGTCGCGTTTGTCTGGCAGTGGCATCTCTTTCTTCCCTCAGGTTTTGTAAAGCCTGGCTCTTCAGAAAAGGAAATTTAGTTTAAGCATGACTGGCTAATCTAAACAATAGAAATGGGCATGTAGAGAAGTTTAACTCTCGCAGTAAATGCTATAATAGAAGCTGAAGGATTTTTGAATGAGAAAAATCATCATGTGGAAATTAATTATGTAGACATTGATGAGGATGAAGAGTGAAGGGGATTAAACAAAATAGTTTTAGGAATGACAATTGTGTTTTGCTATTTTTTAACATTGTTGCTTTGTTTTGATGGCTGTTTTTGTTTATGTTTATGTTTCTTTATGATGACTATCAATAGATTGTAAATGTCATGAATTTTAGATTGTTATATTGTTGGTTTTAATGTGACTGTGTTTGTTATTTTTCTGCTTTTGCATCATATTATATATATATATATATATTTTTTTTTTGTCCGCCATGATGTCCGCCATGGCATCCGCCATGGCAATATGGCACTTAAAGGTCCTTGCTGCCATCTGCCGTATAACCTTGTTCTCTTTCATAAACTGATTTCTTCTGTGCCTTTTCAGATAATGCTTTGCTCATAAAGGCTAATGGTCTGCCCTCTTGTAACAACACTGCCCCTATTCCTCTGCTAGAAGCATCAGACTCCACTACAAACTGCTTGGAAAAGTTCGGTACTGCCAGTATAGGTAATGCTGCCATGGCCTGCTTAAGTGTCTCAAAAGCTTTGGTAGCTTCCCCATTCCACACAAAAGCGTCTTTCTTCAACAATTCTGTTAGAGGTCTAGACATCTCCCCATATCCACGAACAAACCTCCTATAGTAGCCAGTAAGACCCAAAAAACCCCTCAAACCCTTGAGATTCGTGGGTTGAGGCCACTTGAGCATGGCTTCTACCTTAGAAAGGTCTGCTGCTACTCCTTCGACCGAAATGACATGACCCAAATACTCCATATGAGATCTTGCAAACTCACACTTCTTCCCATTAGCCACTAACGAATTTTCTCGCAGACGTGCCAGCACTTGTCGTAAGTGGTGTTGATGTTCTTCCTCGTCCCTGCTATCCACCAAAATGTCATCAAAAAATACTAACACAAACTTCCTCAAAAATGGCCGCAATACTTCGTTCATTAACCCTTGTAATGTTGAAGGAGCATTGGTAAGGCCGAAAGGCATTACCAAACATTCATAGTGCCCCTCATGTGTTCTAAAAGCAGCCTTGTGAATATCCTCTTCTCTCATTCGAATTTGATGATAGCCCGATTTCAAATCCAATTTAGAAAATACGGTGGCCCTAGACAGTTCATCCAATAGTTCATCAATAACCGGAATTGGGAATTTATCTAGTATGGTTACCTTATTCAATGCTCTGTAATCCACACAAAACCACCAGCTTCCGTCCTTCTTTTTTACCAAAATAATAGAACTAGCATAAGGACTGATGCTAGGTCTGATTATTCCGGTTCTCAGCATATCTTGCACCAATTTTTCAATCTCATTTTTCTGGTAATAAGGGTACCTATAGGGTCTGAGGTTAGGAATCTCTGCCCCTTCCTTCAAATTGATAGCATGATCTTGCCCTCTTGAAGGAGGTAGCCCCTGGGGTTCCCGGAAAACCTCCTTAAACTCCTCTAGTATTTGTTTTATGCTTTCTGGAATTGCTCTCATCTTCTCCCCCGGTCCTGTTTCTGCCACACAACACTCCACCCAGTAGATTTCTTCCTCCTTCAAATGTTTGAGGGTCCCTTTCAATGGCGCTTCCGATATACTCAAGGAAGAATCTCCCTTGATCTGATAAACTTCTCCCCCTACCCTGATTTTCACGGTTAATTTATCAAAATTAGCCTTGATTTCTCCCAGTCCCCTCAACCATTGCATTCCCAATATCACGTCGACTCCCTCCAAGGCAAACAAATAAAAATTTTGCCTCACGGACACCCCCTGCACCTCCAACTCCACCCCTGCGCACATCCCCTGCGCCCTCACACTATGACCATCCCCTACCTTCACCCAATACGGTTCTGTTTTCTCCACCTTCAGTCCCAATTTCTTCACCACCGATTCAGCAATGAAATTGTGGGAAGCTCCACAATCAATCAAAACCAAGATTGAATTATCCCCTATCTTTCCCCGAAATTTGAACGAATGTTTGGAAGTCATTCCACCATACTTCGAAAATCTAATGTCGTGGTGGAAGGACGAAAATCTAGTGTCGTGGTGGAAGACTTACCACTCCATTGGATCTCCTCTTCTTCCTCCGTCTCTTCCACGCCCTCTTCAAGCAACATTATTCTAATTTGCTTGTTTTTACACACATGCCCAGGAGAGTATTTTTCTTCACATCTGAAACAAATTCCCTTTCTCCTCCTTTCTTGGTACTCCGCATCCGTCATATTTTTCCAATTCAGCTTTCCTTCCCCCTTCCTACTCTCCTCCCTTTTCGTTTCAGTGGTTTCATCATTTCTTTTCTTCTCTTCGTCCCTCCAATTGCCATAGATGTTCTTGTTCCATCCTCCCTTGTTAATGGTCGTCGACGATTCCCCCACTTCCTTCTTCAAAATAGAATTTCGAGATTCTATCAAAAGAGCCAAGTCCATAATTTCCTCCAACGAATTAAGTTGATGCAACCTCAATTCCGCTTTAACCTCCTCCTTTAGACCATTCAAGAAAATGCCCTTCAAATAATTTGCATCCCCAATCCTAAGAGGTCCCGAATTGGTCTCAAATTTCTCTCTATTCAGCCACACTCCCTTCCTGTTTAAGGCCCAACAGCATCTCAAAAGGGTTTTGTGCCACCACGGGCTGAAATCTTCTCAGTAATGAACCTTTGAAATCCATCCATGAGGGATTTTGATTTCTACTTTCCCACCACTGAAACCACGCCAGCGCCCTCCCTTGCAGCGCCACCATCGCCACCTCCACCTTCTCGTCCTCCAAGACGCCTTTCAACCTGAAATATCTCTCCATCTTTCCCACCCAACCCAGCACTTCATCCCCCTGAAATAGAGGAAGTTCTAGGTTTTGCCATTTCCACCCGTTCTTTCCGTGCCTGTTACCAATGAAATTTCGTCACCCTCTCTGCCATTTTTTCCCGTTGTCCCAATCGTCACGCGCAATTCCTTCAACTGTTCCAGCATCTCGCGTATCGCCCCCTCAATGTTGCGTCACCATTCGGTTTCTTCCGCCGCACGTTTCTGTATGTCTTGCAAGCCCCTTTCCACCTGTTCCAACCGAATCTCCATTTTCTTCTCCATTCTTGATCGCCCCAGATTCGCAACCAGCTCTGATGCCAGTTGATAGGTCTCAACTGGATATTAAGAGAGAATTGAAAAAAAACGACAGATTGTAGTATTATTTCTCTTGAACCCTTGCTGTCAATACCAACCGAAAGACCGAATACAGTGAAACCAGGCAATTCGAGAGTGCCTATCTCTCCCAGAATACAATACTTCCGAACCCCTTCCTCTCCCTTATTCCCTCCTATTTATACAATTTAACAATCCCTACCCGACTGTCATCAGTTAGTTACTTAAATAACTAACTGCCTCCCTTTTCCCTCCTAACATAGACCTGTTTAACCACAGGTCCCCTATCAAAGACCCTATTAAATTCACCTCTAAAGTAAATGGATTTCCAATTCCAAACATAATATTTTATAAATTTCCAAACAAAGGTTTTATTAACAAATATTCCTGTAATCATTGATAACCTACGGTTGAAGTCTCGAATTCATAGGCATATGCAAATGTTGGTTTTGAATTGGCACATTCACCCATGTAGTCTATGATTCTAGGATTTCTAGGGTTAGGTAACCTGTTACATTGTAATTGCCCATGCTTCTTCATATCACAGTTCTGGTAGAATAGTAGACTGTTTTCTGAGGGTGCTTACAGTGCAACATTGATGCTTTTCTAATGATTGCTCGTCAAGTGTGCTTCACCCATGTATAGCTATTTTTTTTTTTTTTTTTCAGTTTTTACCGCCTAAATTTGGGGAAAACTGCTTGGATTCTTTTTTCTTATTTTTCACTTTTATACAGTAGACTGTTCTCTGAGGGTGCTTACGATGCAACATTGATGCTTTTCTAACGATTGGCTCGTCTAGTGTGCTTTAACCTGTATAGCTATTTTTTTTTCTTTCAGTTTTTACCACCTAAATTGGGGAAAACTGCTTGGATTGTTTTTTCTTGTTTTTCACTTTTACATAGTAGCATCAACAGGGTGCTTGAAAACATTCTAATAAGAGAACAGTGAGGGTATGGAAAATAGTGGTGGAAATGACTTAAAGAAGAATACAAACTTAAACATCCAGTGCTTGTTGTGGTGTAAGTAGTTTGGGATGACTTAAAATGAATCATTATTCATCTAAATACGTTTGGTAAGATACAGAAACTCATCCGTTTAATTCTGGGTGCTTAACTTATCTTTTTTCTTTTGTTTAGCTGTTGGAGCAATATAGCAGTGTTTGGCACCACAGTAGAGTGAGGAGGTATCTAACGTCAGAAGATTGGCCTGGTCCTGATTCCAAAGGGAAGCCATGGTATGGCTTGCTTATGCTATTGAGGAAGTACCCCGAGCATTTTGTCATCAACACAAGGTCCAAGGGCCGTATCACCCTGGAGTTTGTTTCTCTTGTCTCTCTTCTATCGTGAGCCCCAAGAAACTGGAAAGGAAATAACTATCAGCTGACAGTGATATGTGGTTTAGATCCAAGCCTGTATAAAATTACCTACGTTGCTTTTTTTTTTTTTTTTTTTTTGGGGTAAATACTTATGTTGTTACTGGGTAAATATGTGCTCCCCCCACCCTTAGTGCTCTTAGAGCAGAAAGAACTATTTGTTCTATCTATTACATGGATTAGAAAATGGGATGTTAGAATTAAAATTCAATGAATTGGCTGTGTCTAGTATAGTTGATTCACCCTATAAAATTTAGGAGTGGAAAAGCGGAAGAGGCACCCCGGGATTATTATTTTTAACTTTGTTATTGATATGTACCGAGTAGTTTTTTCGAAAAATTTATTAGTCACTTTTAACGAATTTCCTTTTTCAATTCTTTTTTTATATGCAAGATTTAAATTTGAGACCTAACTTAAAAGGGTTGATCTAGTACCACTTAAACAATGACTTATTATAAAGTTATTAATTGTATGTGGTTGACCTTGCAAGTGCCACTAGTGGGATTTGGCATTACGTATTGCATGTTGGGGGAGGCCTTGACATTCTTGTATAATTTTATTGTCTGTTGGGCTAGGCCCTTTTGTGTTTCGGATTCCCGGAGGTTCAAACTGGAAGACCCAAAAGCAGCCGATTCACGAATGTTTGCTTCTTCTTCTTCTTCTTTTTTTTTTTTTTTTCGTTTATTAAAAAAAATAAAATTCTATTACTCGACAATCATTTTTTAATTTAAAATTTTCAAGTTGCGAAAATTATTCTGAGTACAAGTTTTCTAAATCAAGACATTCTAAAAAACAACAAAAACAAATGAGATGTTTTCTCATCCTTTACTTTTGGTTTTCTTCAAGTGTTTAAATTCTGATGGAACAATCTTTTAGAAAATGTGTTCAGAGTACAAATATTTTCAAATGTATTTAGATTACAAACATTAAGAAAACAAAAACTTTTTTGTTTTTTAAATAATCGAAAGCTTTTGCCTGGCTGAGTCCTCAAAATCATCAATGTGATAGACGCAAATTTTCCTATTTCTCAAGGAATTTACAGACGACAAATTGATGTTTTCGACAACAATTCTTTTAATTATCTTTTTGGTCATTGTAGTTAAGAATATTCTATTTTTGTCTTTATATATACTTTATTCTTTTTTAAGTCTCTAGCTTATTTCTATAGAAATGAAAATGTAAAATTTATAAAAATATAGAAATTAATAGAAAAAAATGATAAATATATATAAGAATAAATTAGAATTTTTTTAATTATAAGATCTAAAAGGTAAATTTGAGTAAGCTATATTGCTTAGAAGAGTAATTAAACCAAGCTTCCTATAGTTGAACCATAATTAGTTAATCACCATGTATATGTAGTGATAAAATTGTAATGTAAGTTTACAAGCAATGTTTAAGGAAAGGATAGTAACTCTTAAAGTAAATTATACCCACCTCCAGTTTTATAGAAACCAGATTGAACTGGTCAAACAGGAAACCAGTGCCTAAACTATAACGGTTTTCTTCGCTGAATTGGTTACGTAGTTGAATTGGATTGAACTAGTCAGTTTTTGCCAAAAACGGTGAACTGGTTCAGTTTCCAAATTTTTTAAAATTTGTTTTGGACTTTGTAAAAGTTTTTCATTTTGAAGTGTTGATAACTTGAACATGAATTTTGGATGTTGGTTCTATTTGTATTTTAATTTTTGGATTTATTTACAGAGTTGTGTCATTAATGTAATATCCTAAGTTTTCTGAAATTAATAAAAGGTTGTTTGGAGTAAGAATGTTTTATAAAATATGGTTTTGAAAATAATAAAAAGTTTTATTAATATGAGAAGAGTTTTATGAAAAATACGAAAGGTTGGTGGAATTATTAATTATATAATATAAGTATTATTTTTGGAGGTTTTAATTATTTTGATTAATAAAAAAAGAGACGTTGACCTGGGTTAGTTTCTATAACCCTAGAGGTGGCAATTTGGTTAAAGGGAAGGTTGGTTTTAAAAGGTGGTTTTTGAAAAAAAATTTGTCAATCACTTCTCATCTCACGTTTCTTTCTTTTTAATCTTTGAAACTCAAGAACTCCATGAGTAGAATGTAAAAGTTATAGGAGTGCATTATGGAGATCCCTATCCTTCATCAAACATTTACTGAGACAAATGAGAATGAGTTATCTAGCTCTGGGTGTGGGATAAATGATGGATAGCAGACTTGCCTATCAATCCTGTTGTTTGTATGTTCTATTGTTCTACAAGAGTACTTTGGGAGTTTCCTTTGTTTGATTGTGTTGGATGGATAGTTTTTGTAAGTTATAATATGCTTCCTTGGCATTCCTATTAACGTGAAATGTGCTCTATATGGTACATATGATGATTATTGATGTAAAGTGTGAATTTGTGAGAACCCTTAAGTTCCTGCAAGAAACCCAATTCATAGACTGGGATGAAGATCGACAAAATTGAGTAATAGTTGTATAATTGGTGAGTAACATGAGTAATTAAGGATGCATAAGTTATGATTAAATGCTAACTCATATTTTAACTAACCAGATTGAATTATAGGTGGGTAAATATTCACAGATTTTGCATGAGGGCACTAAAATGTGGTTTCCCTGGGCATGAAGATGTGGCATTGGGCGTGAGAGCTCCAAGAGCTCTCTTTAGCTATTTTTTCGAGCATGAGCATAGTCATGCCATGTGTGAGGTTTCCAAAGGGCAACGTGGTGCCTTCTGGGTGGTGGAATTTAGGTGATTAGATGAAAGTTAGAGTAAGGATATACTCCTTGATATTGTTTATAGTGTTGTGTAGTTAAGGGAAGAAAAGTAATTAATATCACTAGAAATATGTAAAATATTAACAACAAAAGGAAGTCTAATATATGTATATGAGGAAGGATCCATTTACTCCAGAAATAAGTCTATCTAGACTTACTCCATTCAATAACTCGTGTTTTACATCAAATTTCAACAATCCAACCGTTGAATTTAAAGTTCTTAATGCATAGATCAAATCTACACATTTTTAAAAATTTTGAAAATCATTTGATACTTCATTTCATTAAGAACTTTTAAATTCAACGGTTAGGTCGTTGAAATTTGAATGGAGTAAGTCTAGGTAGACTTACTTCTAAAGTAAAAAGATCCCTCATATATATATATATATATATGTAGTAATTGGAAGTGATTTGGTGATAGATATGCCTTAGAAAATAATGTGTGATAATAATAACATTGTGAGACCAGTTAAGTTATTGATTAAAATGCTTAATTTGAGGGTTGATCTCTTTGTAACTATGATTGAGGTATCAATATGTGATGGGAAGAGTTTATAACTGTGAGTTTGAGGTAATATGAGTGAGGATTCATATGCTTTGTTTTGAGGTATATGTGAATCCTCACTTATATTACCTCAAACTCACAGTTATATGTGAATCATCACAAAGTGAGGTAATTTGAGGATTCATTATTTGATGGTTTTCTAAGGATTATGATTCATGCCATACATGGAGAATGATAGCAATTAATTGATGAATCAAATGTGTATTTTAAAGGTGTTTGAATTATATTGACATGCTAATTGAGGTATATGTGATGTGTTTGTGTGTGTGTGGACCATGTGATGGTCACATGATGTGAAGTCTATGATGATGACCTAGCCGGGTTAAAAGTCTAGGCATGCATGCGTAGCTGCGATGTAATGAATTGTGAATATTTTGAAATGTGAATGATATAAACATGTGATGTGAGTCTTGCGTTGAGTTTGGGTGGCATGCATCATGTGAATACAAGTGTTTTTGTGACAGGGTATGGTGTGAAATATAGTACCAAAGAAGTCCCTCCTTATGTGAGCTTATGCATTCATAACCTTAGGGATAGTTAGGTTTGGAAGCCCTAGTTCTACCTATTTGAGTGCATGGGGTGAATCTTACGTGACAGTTTTTTGTGATGGGCATGGTGTGGAATACAATGTCAGAGAAAGTCCCCGTTGCGTGAGCTTAGGGATTCATGATCTCGACGACAACTAGATTTTGGAGCTCCAATTTTGCCCATTTGAGTGCATGAGGTGAATCGTGCGTGACACTATAGCCTAGACACACCCTAGTGTATCTTCCCATAATGTAGAGTTTTGTGATGGATCATCCATTGGCATGTTCTCCTAGGTTACCCTATGAGTCTTCAAGCGACATCTGATGTGTTTTACTAGCACCACATACATATAAAACTAGTAAAGTTTGTGTCCATTGCATTTGTATGAATTCCAAGGATTATAACTATGTTTGCATTTGTTGAATTGCTTATTTATATTCTCACTACCATGAACATGCATGTTGATGTTATGTATGTTTGTGTTACTTGCTTGTGTGTGGTTGTCTGACCATATCTTACACCAGAAGTCAAAGAGACATATGTCACTCCCGTGTCACTTTATTGTTCTTTATCGTGTGTTTTGCAAGTGAGTATCATCAAGATTATGATGTTGGTGACGAGGCTTGGAGTCTTATGTGTGTGTTCTAGTTATACTATGATATGATGTGACATAACATCAATATAGAAATATTAATGACGTGACTTTTAAGCTTATGTTTTCTTTTCATTATAGAAATATTGATATCAAACTTGTTTCATTGTTTTTGAAACAATTGTTTAGCTTTTGTGACTTGTATTGGCTTTGGGTTACCAAGATATTTACTTAATGTTTAGCTTATGTTATTCTTCATTTTTTTATCTTGAAACTTTAAAGATTTTTCATCGTGACGTGTTTGCAAATGTGAATCATTTACTTGAGGTTCTTTATCCAAATATCTTTAACTATTTTTTTTATTTAATTGTTCATTTCAAAAATATATTTTATCATAAGTAGTAGTTAGAGCGGTAGAGGGTATAATTGTGACATCCTTCTACCTCCAAAACATTATTTTAAAACTATTAATAAAATATATTTAATAAAAAGATATTATAAAATGTGTAAATTATTTTTCATAGTAAAATGGTCCACACTTCATGAATAAAATGTGATGGATAAACATAGTGGCAATGTGGTTGGTAGGGAGCATTGCGAGTAGAGGGCTTGGTAGAGGGTGGAGTTGGTAATTGCAGAATACCTATTCCTATGGTGAAGATGGGATAATCTTTGTTCACTCCAAGTTGATGAGTTTTGGCATAAAGTAAATACCTTATGTCCTTGACTTATCTAGAGGATTTTTCCTTCCCCTTTTAGACTAAGTGTTGCATAATATTGAGCTTGGTCTCAACTTGATAGAATGTAGTCCAAGGCTAGATTTGGCATGATCGTTGAGATGCCCCAATCATCAAAGCAAGGTTATGGGATGAACCTTTGTAGTTGAGCTCGATGGAGATCTTTGTGCAACATGCATCT